CGCTCCGGTCCCGAGGACTCAGCCCCTCAGAGTAGGGGTTGTCCCTTCATCCTTGTACGGTCTGTATCTAGCCTAACTGGCAAGGGACGCGCGTTCTTCAGCTGCACATCCCATCCTGCACTAAGGAAGCTGCCAGACCAGACTCGAGGAACGAGGGGTGTGCGTCCAGCGGAGGAATCTGTGTATTTAATCACTCAAGCTTGGGTTGAGTATTTTGTGCTACACCAGAGTGTTTTCTGAAGGCCACCCAGAAACAGGAACAGGAACAGAGTGGAGATCCGGATTGTCTTGTCAGGAGGCCAACGTGAACAGTGAAGGCTTGTTTTTCCGCGAAGGAAAAACGGTGGAGAGTATGGTAGGCTAGGCTAGAACCAGATTAAAGTCTGGGGTGCTCTTTTCTGCTGATAGAAGAACTGGATGGCAAGGAGATGGACTTTTTATTTGCTTGGGTGTTTTGCCTACATGCATGTCATCCCGTGTGCCTGGTGCCCTCAGCAGTCAGAAGAGGGCATCGGATCCCCAGGAACTGGAGCTAGAGAACTGCCACATGGGTGCTGGGAATCGAACCAGGGTCCTCTGGACCAGCAGCCTGGGCCCTTAGCCTGAGCCGTCTATCCAGATCCCTGAAACTTTTATCTCACTGCGAATTATTAAATTTCACACCATGTGGACCTAGTGAGACGGCTCAGTGGGTAAAGGTGTTTGAGGACATGCCTGATAACTTCATTATATCCCTAGATTCTACATAGAAGTGAAAAGTGGAGACCGACTCCATGAAGTCGTTCTCTGAGCTCATCACACAACAACAGACACAATAATAATAATTTGTATATAAAGTTTAGGGAAAAAACCCCACACCATGTGTATATGAACAAAGAAAAAGAAAAAGAAAAAAAAAGGGTAGTTTAGAGATGTATGAGCACGTGGGAAATAAAGTCATCCCAGTTCATTAAGGGCAGAAATGAGACAACTGGACAAGAGTGGAAGGATTTCTGAACTCCAGTGCAGGAAAATACCAGAAAGCAGTCTCACTGAGAGTGAAGAAAGACAGGAAGCTGGGAAACAAAGAACAGCAGGCCCAAGGTTATGGTGCTAACTAACCTCACTCCAGTCAAGTCCCATCAAAATGGACCTATGGCAAATCCTTGCACTGATGATTGTTTGTTTTTTCAAGACAGGGTTTCTCTGTGTAGCTTTGGAGCCTGTCCTGAACTTGCTGGAACTCTCTGTAGACCAGGCTGAACTTCAACTCAAAAAGATCCCCCAACCTCAGCCGCCAGTGCTAGGATTAAAAGCGTGCCACCACTACCTGTCCAACCAATGACTTTGATACTTAAAAAATGCATTATTTCTGGGAAAAAAATAAACAATAATTACATGTTCAGAATCTGAGGTGAACACCTTTATTGACTTGCCTGTGTTACTTTCAAGTCTGCCAAGTGAGGCCACACACACCTGTAATTCTAGCTCAGGACACAAAGGAAGGGGTAGCACTGAGGTCTGAAGCTAACTGGCCTGCATAGGTCTGTGCAGTGAGACTGTTTTAAAACAACAGAAATAAAACCAAAACACTTTCTGAGCTTTCCATGTAGGTTAGCAACTTCTGAGCAACAAGTACCCAATAAAGGCTTATTATTAAGAGCATCCAGACTCTAGAGCTACTGAATCTAGAGTTTGCCAGTCATCCATCATTCAGATGACAGGCATAGAATTGCCATCATAAAGAAACACTGATACTTGATTTAAAAAACAGAAGATTGCCATGTACATACATATCTGTAACAGACGTTGGAAACTGAGGCAAGGGCAAGTTTGGGTTAGGCTAGGTTAATAGTGAGACCTTGTCTCAAACCAAACCAAAAGATAAAAGACAACTCCAAGCTTTCAGACTTGGCTGACTAGGAAAATGACAGTATTAATAAAATGGGGATGTCATCAGTTGAAATGATGAGATCTTAATGTTTTTAGATACAGAGAGTAGTACTAGCACCTCTTAGAGAAAAACATACAGTGAGGAGCTAATACTTTCCATCCTTTTTTTTTTTTTTTTTTTTTTTTTTTCCTGTTTTGTTTTTTTGAGACAGGGTTTCTCTGTGTAGCCCTGGCTGTCCTGGAACTTGCTTTGTAGACCAGGCTGGCCTTGAATTCACAAAGATCTGCCTGCCTCTGCCTCCTGAGTGCTGAGATTGAAGCTTTATTTTTTTTTAAAGATTTTTATTTATTTATGATGTATACAGTGTCCTGGCTACATGAATGCTTGCATTCCAGAAGTGGGCATCAGATCTCATTACAGATGGTTGTGAGCCACCATGTGGTTGCTGGGAATTGAATTCAGGACCTCTGGAAGAGGAGCCAGTGTTCTCCAGACCCTATTTTATTTATTTATTTTTGTTTTCAGGACAGGGTTTCTCTGTATAGCTTTGGAGCCTGTCCTCGATCTCTCGTAGGAAAGAAACCTCACAGAGATCCACCTGCCTCTGCCTCCCAAGTGCTGGGATTAAAGGCGTGTGCCACCAATGCCTGGATCAGCCCCTATTATTTTTAAACTATTTTTTTTTCTATACCCATTTTTACTGTACCTGTTTAGAGGTTTATCCAGTCAGGACTGCTTACTGCACACCAGTAGCCTTCTCTGACTAAGTGAGCCAAGCCTTAAACTCTCCCTGTGTGGTGTGGCTGTGCCCTGGAAGCTGGCTCAGTCCCACTTAGGTCTGTGAGAGCTGAACCTTATGCCCATGGTACAGGCTGGGAGCAGCATTTACCTGCCCCAACTCTGGGAAGTTGCTGAGACAGAGCTGTCTCTACTTAGCCTCTATAAACCAAAAGCACTAGGTTATTAGGCTACTAGGAAGTAGTGTCTGTTTTTTGTTGTGTTTTTTCTTTTTTCTTTTTTAAGATTTTTAAGGCCCTATGTGGAAATTATGTGCCTGGAGGTTGGGCACCGTATGTAATGAGTCTTTCTCTATCCCACCAGCCAGAAACTTAATTATAAAAGCTTGGCCTTTAGCTTATGCTTGTCTCAAGTAGCTCTTATAACTTAAACAAACCCATTTATATTAATCTATGTCCTACCATATGGGGTCACCTCTCCTCCATCTTGCACCTCCTGTTTCCTCTCCATGTCTGGCTGGTAACTGCCCTTCTTCTTCCCAGAGTCCTCTCTGTCTCCAGAAGTCCTACCTAATCTCTTCCTGCACAGCTACTGGACATTCATCTCTTTATTAACCCAATCAGAAGGCACCTTGGCAAAGATACATCTTCACAGGGTAAACAAATATTCTGCAACATTGTGGTGGGCACCTGTAATTGCAACAGTGAGTAGGCAAAGACAAGAAGATACCTGTGGCTCACAGCCCACTCAACCTAGCTTAATTGGTAAGCTCCAGGTCAATGACAAACTCTCTCAAAAAGTGGGGCAGTATTCCTGAAAATTACACCTCTGGCTTCCACACACAGGTGTACGTGCGCACACACAAAGTACTTCTTTGTGCTCCTGTCATATCATATACCCTTTTACATTTTCTCAATCCTACAATCTGCTTTTTAGTAATAAGTAGAGGTTCAAAAAACAATTTTAAAATCATTTAATATGCAAAGTGAAAAACTAGAATATAAAAAGCATTTCACATTTTTAAAAACAAAATAACACCTTCTAAATTATTTAACACAAGGCAGAAATCCAGTCTTTTATCTGAAACCCTTAAGTCCAGATGTTTCAGAATTATGAAATTTTCAGATTTTAGAAAGGTAATTCAGTGCATATACCATACTACATTACCCTCAAAAGAGTTTGTGGCAGCACCCCCCAACAATCAAACACATTAATATTTATGCAGCAAAATAAATGAATATTCACACTAAATGGGATAAACAGATTCAGTGTCAGGTCAAAATAGATCCAGAAGCAAATGAATTTTGTTATCAAGTTTAGGAAAACCTTGTTTTCAGAACTTCTTGGATTTTGAGACTATAATTACAAATAAAGGAATGAATGCAGACCTTTTGAAACTTGTATGACAAGACACAAAAGATTGTTTAAACAAGTCACCCATTTTTACAAATGCAAAAACATACAATCTTCAAATACATTATAAATTAACAGGCAGCTCATCTTTGATATTAAATGTACACCTTAAATACATATACATATAGCACACAGCACAATTCATTACGGTCAGCTGAGAACACAGACTCACATGTTAATCCCTCATGTAAGAAAAGGACGCTCTTACATATATGGTTAAACATGGAATTCATCTAACTCCTTCCTTATGATGCCAGCTAGAGTACCCACTGAGAGCAACACAAGGAGGCAGGTTAGGCTTCAGGAAGCACAATTTTACTTGTGAGCAATCTCTTCCACAGAAACACAGGTAGACAACTTTTACTAAAAATGAGCACTGGATCCAGCAGTGGTGGCGCACGCCTTTAATCTCAGCACTTAGGAGGCAGAGGCAGGTGGATCTCTGAGTTTGAGGCCAGCCTGATGTAGAAAGCTACACAGAGAGAAACCCTGTCTCAGGGAGGGAGATAT